AGGGCATTGATGAATATATTGAATAGTACTGTTGAATAGCACTGGGTTTTTGACTGGAAAGCAGTCCATCTCAAACTGAAAACTACAAAATCAGAAGCTGTTGAAGATTGTGCGAGAGGTTTGCTGTCTCTTAACCATGGCTATGCCAGGGCTACTTGCGAGTGCAGACCACAGAGGCTGGCTGGGCTGTGGTCACTCTGGTCATTCTCATGGATTTACCCCACATCTGAGGACCCAACTGAATGTTTTCTTCAGAGACGATTGTAAAAATGAACTACTCACAACTTTTTGCATTCAGTTGGAGAATTTGAGGAAAATGGTTTCCCGATGCATCGCAGAGGTGGTTCTGCACAAACCCCAGTGAGGGATGTGGTGCACAGAAGCACTTTAGAGCACGGACAAAGCGTGCCTGCATCGAGATGCTTTCAAGTGGCACAGCGACGTATGGAGGAGTCAAATTTTGAAGTCCGTGTGCTTTCTTTTCCAGAGTAGCTAGAATCTGAAATGTAAGCTGTGACGTTCTGGCTGCGTTTAATGTACGTAATGTGGTTTATTTCAAGCTGTGTGCAGCATGGTGAGCGAGCTTCTCATTTTTATACTCGGTGTCTTAGCAGGAGCTGACAGCACGGTTGGGAGAAGAGAATGGGAGGAATGGTGTGAGCAAATGCTTTCCCACTAGCTGATGCGCTTACATAGGAAACTTTTAGAATATAAATTGCAGGTGTGCGTAGAGTGGTTATAACAGGGATCTAGTATTTCTCCAATTGTGGATTTTTTTTTTTTGTCAATTGAAAAGTGCTTCTGAGAGCTGTAATGTTGGCAGACCTAAGGTGTAGTGCACAGGCACTGTGGCCTTAGTGGTGTTTAGTATGCTTGGAGCCAAGACTCACACACTTATTTCTTTAGATGCTTCAGAATTCAGAGAATACATAGTCCCAAAGGGAATATATTTGGAAGTAAACAAGTTTTGAGCAGATAACTTGAGGTCACATTAAAGAACAAGCAGCCATGAGTTTCCAGGAGGAATTCAAATATATTTCAATACACAAATAAAAAAGTCTCTTTTAGGTGTTAATTAGTGACTTTTACAAATTCCTGTGTAAAAACTGACATCATGTGGAAACCTTAGAGACTTATATTTCCCATTCTTTGATGCTCATTCTGGGGCCTTTATTCATTGGAAAAAGCAGGTATGAACACAAGCATTGGTTTTTGAGACCACATTCCATACAGCTTCACTTTTTTTTTTTTTTAAAGCCATCCTTCAGAGCAGGAAGACAATATCATATTTTCCTATGTACATACATGTCTCCTGGGCTTCTGGAAGCAGCACAGACTTTTTTTGTTACCAGACCTCCTCATGGACAGCAATTTTAAAAGCTGTTGTGCAATTTCCTCGAGATAAGTACTTTGATTTCTACATCCATTGGCTTGAAGTTAAAGAAATGTTTTTTTTTTAAAAAAAAAATCGCATTAACCATACTGAGCAATATTGGCTGAATTGAGCAATCTGGAAATGATCTTTGTATTTGGTGTTGCTCAGTTCCCATTATGCTGCTCTGGCAGGCTTCTCAGGTGCATTCAGGTCAGAGATGTTGCAATGATATGAATGTCTGGCTGAGTATTTCACTGATTTGAAAGGAAGTTTGAAAATAGGTATTCTCAAAGTTGCTATATTGTTAAATCACAAAACAAGAAGTTTAAGAATAACCTTACACTAAAAACCAGTTAATCATTTTTTCCTCTGAAGCACTCAAAGTCTGTGCCTAATTTCATGAGCCCTAAATGTGATATTTCTTTTCTGTGTTCAATGATTTTCGACATCCATTAAATCCTATATGGTCACTGCTCCGTTTGTGTGTGTATGTGTGTGTGTTATTAAAAAAACAAAACCAAAACAACCAACGAAACAAGAAAACCCAACAAAAAACCCAAAACACATTCTTCACTGGATGGAGGAGTCAATCAGCAGATTTAGAAGTGAGGGGAAAAATGCTAACCCCTTTCTGAAGGTGCTGTCACTGCCACAGGCTGGGTAAAAGGACTGGCAGGAGGAAGCAGAGCGTAGGAACTGTTAATTGCCTCTGCACTGTGCTTATGTCTGTCTCTTTTCTGTTTGTGTGGTTTTTAGGGGGAGCTGGAGCGTCAGCTTCTTCAGGCCAATCCCATTCTGGAGTCTTTTGGGAATGCAAAGACAGTGAAAAATGACAACTCCTCCCGCTTTGTGAGTTACTCCTTTTCTCTTCAGAGTCTGTGAATCTGGATTACTGTTTATGGAGAAATTACCTTTTTAGGAACTTGGTGAATTAGTATCTGAAGCTTTCTTTGTCCTCTTTCCTCCAGGAATTCAGGTTCTCTTACAGTGCTTTCTACGTTGTGTTGGGTCACTGGAGATGCATCCTCACTGGCTCTTGGCAAAACCTGCTCTAGTTTTATCCACCATACTTGAATTGACAGTAGTGTTCATAGTCTAACAAATTCAGCTGTGCCATAGAGCTGAACTGGGGCTTGCACACACAAGTTACTGCTGAACTACTACAAATAATGAAGGAGTATGGCATCAGCATGGAATTTGGCTAAACATGTCGCCTTCTTGTCAGTAGCTGTGACTTTGTTAATTGATTAGTTGAGAGAGAACATCCTCTATTTTTAAAAAAGCACAAAACTTGAATGTGAAAACTTCTCTCAGTTGCCATGCCCTTCTGAGTGATTTACTGAGGCAAACTCAAAGAGACAGCATGACTTGTTCAAGGTGCTGGGCACTCTTGTAGCTGGTTGATGTTTTTGTTGGGTCAGTACCTTCTGTTCATCTACTGTTTTGGTGGCAGATAACTTCTGATGTGTTCCATTGTTTTAAAAAATAGTGGTGGAACTCGGGGTGAATAGCTATTTACCACTTCTTAAACTTCCTTTCATTTGAAGGGAGGGGAAAAAAAAATCTCCTGTTTCAGGGGAAGGATGTTTTTAGTACAATTTAAAACTGTATAGGAGGTATTAAATCTTTTTCCTTGTGAGAACAAAACTAAAATTTATAGAACAAATGAAAGATTTCTTGGCTGCCTTGATGCTTCAACAGTTGCTTGGATTTATAATGTATGAACTCTTGGCCCCAGTGATAAGGGCTCTGGAAAACTATATAACTGAAACCCTTAAATAGCCTTTCCAATTGAGAAGGGAGAGCAGGGTACTGTAGAAATTCAACTTTGCTAATTTTATAGTCACGTTATTTACAATATTGGTTGATGCTTATATATGTTAGGTATAGGATTTATAATAGCAACAGGTTTCATTGTACAATAATTCTTTGTTACACCTCTTGAGTGCATCAAGGATTGTACTAACTTAATGAGGATACTTTTTTCTAAAAGATGTTAGCATCTGGTTTGTATTATACTGAAGTCTGCATTGCCATCCTGAACATAATAACTCAGATGGCTCTGGCTCTGTTTTTATAAAGGAGCAAGTATAATGCATTCCAGATGGTGTCATCTCATGGAGAAAAAATAATCTTTAGTGAGAACCATTTTAAAACCTGACTTAAATATATATATCTTCCCACAAAGTGAGAAGTGCTGTTGTTGAGCCCATACAGGCTTGACAGTCTTCACCATGCAGCATGAGGATGCCAGCCTGTTCCCTCCTTGCTGATAATACCAGATAGGACTGAAATAAGGCTAGTGTCAAATCATTATTTTTTTTCTTATTTCTTCTAACAAAGACAGTGTTCTCTTGTGTCTCAGGAAATAAAGTCTATTTTGCACTGGTTAGGAGACTGGGCTTGCTGGGTTTGTACTGCAAGAACTAAATGCTTCCTTCTGATGTGTTTTTTACAAAACCATGTACTTAATGCTATAATGATAGTGTAAACAGATTGCAGTTGCTGGATGACCACCACTACAGTCTCTCAACTGATAAATTAAAGATTTCATAGCAAGATTTGCCAGTGCTAGCTAAAAGGATGTATTAATCTTTTGATTTTAAGAAGATGAACTAGATAAGTGACCTCTCTAGTACAGACTTCAGTGATGGCTGAACTCTGAAGTAGGGAGTATATGGATTTCCTCTCAATTATTTTAGTTTGTGGAACTGGTAACTTGACAGCAGAAATTAGATAAGTTTTAAGAGTGAAACAGAGTAAAGTGGTTTTTAATTGTATCAGAATAAGCTACTGACTAGACCTTACATAATGCTTCATGTTTGTTTTCACGTGTAACATGGCAAATCCAAGCCATGCCATTCTAAAAAGGCTCTGTGGTACCTGTTCTGGGTAAAAAGTTGTCAGCTGCTGGTCTTGACATGCTAGTACTGCCACATGCATTGGATATCTAGTCTGTTGGCTGAATTTCAGTAAAATGTCACTTTGTTCTTTGTGACAGTTATAAATACAGCTTTGTGGAATTGTTGCTGAGCGAAACGTATGCTTCAGTTACAAGCTGAGCTTACAGTCTCCTGTTGCTTCATACTCGGAGATCTGAGTTGGAGTGCTGGTCGCTGACAGGCATGCTTGAAAACAAGCCTTGTTCCTTGACACTTTAGTGCCACTGGCTTTCCAACCAGACTGCAGGTTAAGCACTAGAGAATAATCATTGAAGCTAATTGAAAGTATTCCACCAGTTTTCTTGAAACTTGGAGAAATCACTTTTGAGTTGAAGATACACAACCAGTCACAATCACGGAGCAGTTACTTTGCTCTGAGACTAAGTCAGGATAAGACTGGTAGGTAGGTTGTACCTTTCTCTGAATTCACTGGTGTGGCTGGGGGGGAGAAACTTGGTAACTTGTGCACACAAATCTTTTTGACATGAATGGGCTTTATCAGGGAAGGGTTTGGTGTCTGGGAAGGAAGTTGCAATAGCTCAAATGATTGCAGCAACTTGTTCAGGTGTAAGTCCGCAGCATGGCAATGTACCCCATAATATATACGTACTAGGTTGGGCCATTGCTAGAATACGTGTATTCTACATGTTTGTGGAGAAGAATATTTACTATGAAAATCAATAGTACAGCCCTGAGCTGAATGGATCTGCCAAACAGGAATTCCCTTTAACATACCAATAGCACTAATCAGTCAGACTTGAGATAAGCGAGGATTTGGGTATTGATTGTAAGACCATTTTCAGAAGGCCTCTGCAAAGGATATTAGTAGGTGGCTTTATGCAGATACCACCAAAAGAAGCATTTAGACAGTTGTTAGCAAGATGCTCCCTGGTCTCCAAAACCTGTTAGTGTGTGGATAGAGTAGTGTAGAAATTGGATGCAGTGAAAACAGAGATCCCAGTGCATGTTCCCACTGGTTTCTTCACATGTTTGCAACCGGAGGAATACCCAAGAGTTTCATGAGCCCAAACTTGAAATACAGTAATTGTGCTGTTAAAGTTGTCCAGCTCCAAGCCAGAGCCTGTTGTCCTGGTGGGAATGTTTGTAGCCAAGTGACAAATCAGATTGGGAAGCTAATGTGGCTTAAAACTGGTATCAGATATCCACTCACAACCACTTCCCACATAGAGCAGCTCTTGGAAAGGAAGGGTGCTCTTTATTTGGCCCTTTGTGGAGAAAAGGGGATGTATGTGGAAGAAATGGGTGTACTGGCTCTTAGTCCTTTCTTTACCAGCTGCTAGAAAAGAGAGGCCATGCAGATGGAATCATCCTGGTTTTGGAAATGGAAGTAGAAGTGTGATGGGCTGGGCAGCACGCTGGGGTTCAGGATTGCTGCAGATAAAACACCTTTGGGCACCAGTAAATTTGCCATAGAAATAAACTTAAAATCTCAGCGTTGCCTTCAACCTTAGAGAGCATGTTTTATCAATAGGAGAAATTGAGCTTCACTTTTGGAAGTTTTTCGTATCTATCATATCTAGAATACTTGTTCTTTAATCTTTAGAAAGTGTTTGTGTGCAGCGTAACTTATTCCATTGAAATGATGGCTGAGCACATTGAAGGGAAAAGATTTCGTTTGAACTGGTGTGAAATGCTTGACATATGAATGCATTTGGATTATGTTCTTATCTAGATAGCATTGTTGTCTTAATTAAAAAAAATAGTAATTATAAAAATCTCTTTCTTTGCAGGGCAAGTTCATTAGGATTAACTTTGATGTTACTGGTTATATTGTTGGGGCCAACATTGAGACATGTATCCTGCTTTGTGCCACATCATTGTAAAATGCAAGTTTCCAGATTGTTTTGCTTTTGACCCTAGAATTCATTGGAATGCAGTGAAAGTTTACTGCATTTCTACATTCCTTTGACAACATCCATCTCTTCCTTTGTTTCAAAATAGCTGATCAAATATCAAAGTCAGCATGCTTCCTTGTGCTTAGAAATCAGATATTCCAAAATTTAGCACTCTGAAATCTGCTGGATTTTCAGACTGACCTTAAAACCAGAGTATGTTAAATAGGGAAACCATGTAAAGTGTGCTTGTGCTATAAACAGTTCTAGAAAAAACCACCTTCCTAATCAGCAGCTGAGCTACTGGACTGTACCAAAAGCTTGGCTGTGCTCTTGTCAGTGCTGCAGAAGCAGCTCTCAGAAGAAGGTGATGCTCATTACAAAGTGATGGAGCTGGAAATGCTGGGCCACCTTCTGTTTTCTTAGGTCTTCTAGATACCAACGTAGGCTCAATAACATCAGACTTACTAGCAGTTAATACTGGAGCCTAATTCCATTTGAACTTTAAGGTTTGATTTATTTATGATTGCATAAGAACTAGTAAAAATACTTGCACTGAAACCCTTCTCTAGAATTGTTTTCTTTATACTAAAACTAATGTGTGTAACTTTTTTTTTTTTTTAGTTTGTTTAGCCTGTTTTCTGGGGGAATAGCAATAGAGGGGTCATAAAATTATGAAATCAGAAGTCTCAGTAAACAGGATCGTGTGAGTATTAGTTGTAAACAATACTGCAGTTAACATTCTGTTGCTGTGAGTTAAACCGCTTAATTTTAAGTGCACTGAATGTTTGGAACTATCACATAATATGAAACTTGAAAATATGAAACTTGAAAATATGAAACTTGAAAATAAAGCTGGGAAGTTCTCTAGTTATTAAAAACATGCTGTAACGATAAATTATTTCTTTTCATTCAGCACAAGAATGAAGTTTTTGCTTTTATGAAAGGTCAGATGAATTGTTTTGCCCAGAGCTTTGTGAAAGCAGGAGGATTTAACTCTTGGGGAATTTTTTCTTCATCACAAGAACTCATCCTTGCTTGTGTACCGGTGCATTTCAAGTCTCTGTCCCATGTTTCTTTTACCATATGGAATATCATGAAATAAAAACTTAAATAGCATTACAGCTCATGACAGCTGATTAGATGCTGTCTGCTGCACAAATTGAATTTGGGAGCAGTTTAAAGGTGCCACAGACTGTATGTGAAAATGCAGTGCTTGGAAAAAACAACAAATGCACTTCAGATAAAAGTACTTTTGAGTTCAGCAGCTGCTGGGTTTTTGGTGCTAAGAGTTCAGCTGTGACCTTAGTAGAAGTGATGGAAAGAGAATGGCCAGCTCCCCTGCTCGCCTTGACTTAGCTGGTCTGTTACAGACGATTGTCAGCTGCGTGTAGCAGGGAAATGCCCTCAACATCCAAGAAATGAGTTTGCTAAAATTAACTGTTGGCCTCTACCAGTCTGAATTTGAAATGTTTTGTTTAAAGTTACTGAGAGTTCATCTTGGACATAATCCTGTCATTAATATTAAAGTTCTGTTTGGTCTTAAAGAAATTACATAGCCTGCTTTGAAAGTTTTGTTTTCATTGAAGGCTTTTAACCAAAAAATTGTAGAAGATCCTTGACTCGTTATAATCAGACTTGTTGGAGAAGTCTCGGGCTGTTCGTCAGGCCAAAGATGAGCGGACATTTCATATCTTCTATCAGCTGCTAGCTGGAGCGGGAGAGCACCTGAAGTGTAAGTTGAGAATCTGATTTTGTAAACCCGTTGCTTCTGTGTGCAGTGCCTGTTATTTCAGTCTTAACACAGTCGCGTTTGAACTGTTCTTTAGCCTTGAAACCATGGGTTTTAAAAGAGAAGTGAAAAGCCAGGTGACTTTGTTTTGAAATAACTTCAAGTATGCAACTGTTGCATTTCAAGCAAATGACTCCCACATGACAAAGTCCATTTTGGGCAACCTCTGGCTGGGAATCACTGGATTGAAACTGCAGTGCTCCCAGCTGATAAATAACAAATCTGGTCAGCAGGGACAACCTTATCTGTTCGGGACTATGCCTTCAAACTGGGTAAAAACCAACCATTTTACCAAAACATAGTAAACCCTGCAGCTTTCTTCAGCCACTGCAGTACTATATTGATTATCTACACTTTTGTGCAGATAACTTTTGGTTCTACACTTTTGTCCCTTATTAACTGGGTATTTATCTTAGGTTGTGATAATTGAAACTGTACGAAGGTACAGGCTCCAGAGAATTGATCCACTCTTTCTCCTCCCGAATTAAACCAGTGTTCAGCATCCTTGATGTGGTGATCATCAATACCTAACTCAGTTTCTGCCCGTGTCTGTTACCTTTCAATAGAGATACTTCTTTTAGGATATTCCAAATAGGGATTTGAGATTATGCTAGGTCTAAAGTTGAGTAATGTTCTGTTTACAGGCTTAATGCATTTTAAAGAGCTAATGTGGGTTGCTACAGATACAGCTTATGGGAATCTGGCTTTGGCTTAAAAGGTACACTCGTATTTTCAGAGTTTCAGAAGCTGGTATAATGGCTGTTAGCCATATTTGAGGAATTCATTTCATAAAGCATATTTTGCATGTTTAGTGAGATCAGGTGGGTGTGAACAGCAGATTTTTAGCTTATTTTTCTGTCTCTTCCCCTCTGTTACAGCTGACTTGCTGCTTGAAGGATTTAACAATTACAGATTTTTATCTAATGGCTACATCCCCATTCCTGGGCAACAAGACAAGGATAACTTCCAGGAGACTATGGAAGCCATGCATATCATGGGATTTTCACACGATGAGATCTTGTGTGAGTTACTGAGTCTTTTGGATTTTTAAAGTGTACATTTTTTTTCCTCGCATGCACTTGCCAATTTAATGCCACCAAATTTAATGTTGCTTCACTGTCTTGAAGCCTGCAGCAAATGTTTGATTAATATGAGCTAGAGTTAAATTAAAGCTGTTTGCCCAAAATGTACAGTACAAACTTTATTTTCTTCCTGAACTTGTACTTTGTATTTGGAAGTGACACAAGTAACAGAAAAAAAAGTTGTTAAGCTGAACTCTCTTCAATTAAACTGCTGCATGTGCCTCTTGTTAACACAGCAATGCTGAAAGTGGTGTCTTCAGTGCTACAATTTGGAAATATTTCCTTTAAGAAGGAGAGAAATACCGATCAAGCCTCTATGCCAGAGAATACTGGTAAGTTGATCACGTTTGTATTGTTTCCTTTAACTTGCACTGTAGTTTTCTTCCTACCATTTATTTAATGTGTATCTTTAAAAGCACAGAGCAGTCTTCTGAGCTTCCTCGATAGCGTTCTGTGCCAAAAAGAGACTGGGTCTGTTGTCTTACTAAAACTCTCCCATTCTCATAATGCAGACAAATTTAAGTATCCATCAACAGAATTTGCTGTTTGCATTGCTTCTAAACTTTGAGCAAGTATTTCAGTTGTGGTCTTGTTTATCACTATCTACAAAGACTTAAGCACTAGGGGAAAATGTGTGCTTAAATCAGTTTGTTTTCTTTGGTTCTTGACAGCAGTTTTCTTGCCAGTGATAAGAGCCCTGGAGCCAAGCACAACTTCCAGAGTGGAATGGCTGAACATAAACATGCTGTATTTAGAAAAAAACGATTTCTGAAGTGGCGTGGCAGTGTGACTAAGATTTAATTTATCAGTTAGGACTTGCAATGTGGTTGGCATTTTGAGGATTATATTTCTTCACAAATAAAAGATAGCTGCTAAAGCATATCTCAGATTCTGTAAAACTCAGGTGTTTAATTCAGTACTTCAGTACCAGCCTTTTAAATGCTCTCATGGAAAGTCAACTTTGGGAATTGAAATGAAAAGAGATGTAAGAACCATCATTCCCAGGACCTGATGCATGTGCTCAACTCAAATGCTTGTCTGGGGCTCATTTTGTAGCTGCCCCAAATTGCTGTGCATGTAGGTTGCTTGCAGTGTCCAAAATTTTCATCACTTCTCAGAGTGGTGGCCTGCTGCCCAAAGCACTCCAGCAAGTAGGTATGGGTTAAAGTTCAATAGTCAGGGACTCGATATTTGGCTGGCAGTTGGCACTTTGGGTTTTACAGTGAGGAAAAAAGCTCAGATGAAGGATTAATTTTTTAGGTAAAAGCCCAACTTGGACAACTCAACTGAGTCATTGTCCATTTAGAAGTCATGATGTAGAAAGATACTCACTTCCTGACAATCTTGACTTTTGTTATATTACCATTGGTTTTTAGACATATATTTATATCCAGTATTACAATTCAGAATTTATTGACATTATTGGTTATTTATAATACTGGATGCAAAATTCTGAAGTATAAATCAAAGACACTGAAAAGCTCAGATCATGGTTAAAGCATGTTTCTGTTCTCTTGTACTTAAAAATCACTTTATTTGGTTATGTGATCTTTGTTATTGTATCTTTCTGAAGACACTGAGTGAAACTGATCTCTCCTTCCTTGTCCTCTGTATTGTCACATCTCGCTGTAATGGGTGTCCCTAGCGTCCTCCAGAGAAATAAGTGTGTCTTGATAGGGACTCCTCTCATTTAGAGGCACGTGTCTGAAACAGGTCACATTAGTGTATCCACAGCTGGGAAGGAATTTGTGTGGGTAGTGGAGATGTGAACCTATTCAAAGAATATAGAAAGCAAATTCTACTCTCTAGGTAATAAATATAGATAAACAAATCTTGGTTTCAAGTATAGTTACAAGAGATGGCAAGAAAGCCATGTAGCCTCCCTGGGTGAAGAGGAGGGAGAAGGTGTATTCAGAGAACAATTTCATGCTCACCAGCTTTGGAAGAAGCCGTTTGGCTGAAGGGGCAGAGGTTCATAAGCAACCTCATGAAGTTCATGCCTCAACTATGATACAAACTTTTTAGTATTTTTGCTTTATAATAATTCAAAATTTTACATCCAAAACCCAATAGTAATAAAACACAAGTCAGGGTAGTCGGGGCTTTCTAACAATCCCACCTTTTAAATGGACCTTCCTCAGGTCCACAAGATGAATTACTTTTTTTTTTTTTTTTTTTTAAATTGCAAGATTAATCGAGCTGAAATGGTGTGAACCAGTCCTGCCCTTTGAAATGGTAGAGCTTTGATGTGAAAATGGTTTCGTTTCCTTCAGCTGAACATCTGAAATGCTGGCTACAGCCTCCTTCGCTCTCTGAATCCGATTTGATTTTTAGTATTGCCTTTGCTGCAGTTTGTTGTTGTTGTTACCTAAGCTATGGTTCGTTACAAACTGGAAAGGCAGGGACAATAATTCCGTATCACAGGTTTACTAAAGAGGAGCTGAGTTTGGAGCGCTGCATGGAGGGCAAGGAAACCCTTCCTTCCCTAAAAGCTGCAGTATCCCTTCCATAGTATCCATTAGGCCACAGTCCCGAGCTGGTGCTCGTGGCTACTTAATATTTTCAAGTTCTTGGTTTTATTATTTTTTTTAAAAAAGGTCTTGACAGCACTTTCTACTCAACACCTAAGGTTGTAGGTTTTGTCTGATGTGCTGATGTGTAGTTTTATATTCACAGCACAGAAATGTTCCTGTACGTAGCTAAAGTGAAAAGAGCGCTCAATTTGTGATGCTATCCTGATTTTACTGATTCAGTTGTGTCTTGATTCATGAACCCTTCTAGTGAATCTATGGCCAGACAGAGAATCTTAACGTTAAGAGCAAGCAGTAGTGTTTTTAAAGCCAGCAAAACAAAAAAGTACAGAGGAAGCTCTTTATAATGGTTTTAAAATCTATTTTTCCAATGCTGATTTGTAAAAATAGTTAGGTTTTCTGTTTTGTTTTGTTTTTTTCCATTTTGAACAAGCTGTCAGATACAAAGATAAGGCGTTAAAGTACTTACTGGGTAGTGTGGAGGGCTTCCTGCTAAAGGACAACACTTACCCGGACAACACTAAAAATACCTTCAGTGTCACTTTCATTTTTAGAAGTATGGAATCATGAACACCCAAGCTACTGGGAGATTTATTTAGAAAAGGGGATTGATGCAACAGGAATATGTAATGGTCTGGGTAACGTGTTTGTTCCAATAATGAATGTGATACCAGGAGAGGTCATGCTGTCTAAAGAAAGTGTGCTGCTGCTTGTGTTGTTATTCTATATAAAATATTACAAACCCGTGTTTTAAATAGTTTAAACTATGTATTTTGATACAGTCTGTAGTAAAGCATTACACTGGCATACCTGCTGAAATGGAAATAGTTTTTCAGCATATTTAGTATGCTGGAGTTGGGGTGTGATGTCCTCGTACTGTGCTTTTCTTTCTAGAGATGAGAAAATTAGTGTTCCCAATGAAAGTAACAACATGAACACTTGTGCATGGGCTGTGCACTGTTAAGTGACTTCCCTGCAATTTAATGAATTGGTTTTTTCATTGTTTTTTTTTTTCTGCACTCCCCTAAGAAATGAGTAGACCACTGGATTTTCTTAGGGGAGTGTAGAAAAAAAACAATGAAAGAAACAATTCATTAAATTGTAGGGAAGTCATGTTGGTTGAACCTTCCATCATCCACGCGGGTGGTGGGGTAGGTCTGTCCCCAGGACACAAGTGCATCTCCCTCACTGCTATTTCACCTGGCAGTTCAAGTTTTAAAGCTGGCATAGGACAGCCTTTGTCAGTAGCTTGTCTCAGTGGTGTTGCTGGCTGCTGTGGAGGGTTGGAATGCTTCCACTGATGACTTTGATCTCCAGTCGCACAGAAACTCTGCCATCTGCTGGGGATGAACGTGATGGAGTTCACCCGGGCCATTCTGACACCACGCATCAAAGTTGGCAGAGACTACGTTCAAAAAGCCCAGACCAAAGAACAAGTAAGTTTTGGTGCTTTGAAGATGCAGTGAAACTATACCTCATCCTGATTAGCTCTTAACAAAGAAAATTGGGATTAAGCACGTACTGCCACCGACTTTGTTTTCACTCTCTGTCTTTATTAAATGTTCTTACATGGTAAAAATCAATGGTAGAACAGAAGAAACCTTTCCCTTTCCTTGGCCTTCTACTGTCATTGTTGTACACATCAAATGCACAGAGACCTGGTTTGTTTGGGTTTTTTTATGGAACAGTTTAAAAACTAATTTTTCATAACATTAATCACACTGTGTACTGTTCCTACTGGTTGTTTTCATTCCTCCGTGGCATTAACTCCGTTAAACTTCTCTTACTTAGTTATTTGTGATAACATCCATGTCTATGTTCTTTTGATGACTTCTCCAGGGTAAATAAATGTTCCTGTTTGGATTTTCAGGCCGACTTTGCAGTGGAAGCTTTGGCAAAGGCCACCTATGAACGCCTCTTCCGCTGGCTTGTTCACCGCATTAATAAGGCTTTGGACAGGACCAAACGACAGGGAGCGTCTTTTATTGGAATTCTGGATATTGCTGGATTTGAAATTTTTGAGGTACTTCAAAACATTGCTAATATCAGTGTGCGTTAGGGACTGAGCGTGGAGCCACTTAATGCATGAATATTCCGAGGCTGCAGGAAGGTTTGTTGTGTAGTGTGCAAATGCTTTGACAACTCTAAATTACAGTGCCAAAAAGTCAACTTCAGTCTAAGTTGTTCTTTTATAAGTGATGGTTTTTCCTACTATACGTTATTTGATTATATGTAATGGGGAACATAGAGTTTTGAATAACGCATTTTCTAGTTTTCTTTACAAGATATGCGAACGTTGCAGAGTTTTCTGGGGAGTTTCCCTGTGAGGTCAATTTTTTTGACTTCTAGATATGTGATAAAGCCTGTCACTGAATTATTTTTGCTTACTAATGTTATTTTTGTAGTTGAACTCCTTTGAGCAACTCTGCATTAACTACACCAATGAGAAGCTTCAACAGTTATTTAACCACACAATGTTTATCCTGGAGCAAGAGGAGTACCAGCGAGAGGGCATAGAGTGGAATTTCATTGACTTTGGACTGGATCTGCAGCCTTGCATTGACTTAATTGAAAGACCTGTAAGTTTGTGCATTAATAATGCTTTAGAGAGAAGAGGTTCCATTTATGGGTTTGTCTTTTACTGTCTGCAAATTGTAGGCCTCTACAGAGATTTCTTGTGGAGCTGGCACAAAAAGTGAATTAACTTGAAGGCTGAAATCCAAAATCTAAAATCACATGTTTTAGTGAAAGGATTTATCCTTATGGGCCCTGATGTTAGGGTAGAACAGTAAGCGACTACTTTTGTACTTCTTTTCCCTCATATAAATGAAGTCTTTAGTCCTGTCACTTTCCTATTACATTGCATTATAGGGGCTTTAGAGTGGTGGCTCAGTCAGAAGGCTTTTCAAGACTTTCAGTAAACTTTTTTTCATTTGACATCAATAGTGAAACTTCATTTAGAGTAGAGCTTTGCCTTTGCTTTACTCTGTCTGCCTTGCAATTAGGAAAACAATATCTTAAAGGTGGTTTTAATCACTGTGCTTTTTAACGTATTCTTCTGGTTGCTCAATATGTGGAAGCTGAAGAAGGCTTCAAAGAGCAGGAGGAGCAGTTGGGTTTGGGTAGGGGAAAGGGGAGAACAAAGATCATCATTCCTGAAAGTTATTCTTCACACTTCAGAACTACACTGTCAATTATTTTATGACCTTTTAAATTAAACCTAGGGCATTGCAGTTCCTACTCTACATTTCTGTGTGAGTGTTCTCAAATACACATAAGCTGTTGATGATGCTGTGCATCCTGAGGAGCAGAAAAGCCCATGAGCCATGTTGCTGTTTTTCTTTAGAGAAGAAAAAGGGAAATCTTGTTTCAGTTACCAAAGGGTTGCACTTTGTGTGTGGAACTTTCTAAAGTTCTGCCTCCTTGGAATGTAAAATCTCTGCCAAAAAGCCTGAGGGGGTAAGTGCGGATGCTTTCAGTATGCAGATGTTTAGGTGAATATCCTGAAATGCATCAAATTACTTGATTATTTTTTTTTTTTAAAAAGCAAATGTCAATGCCTTCATAATTGTTCTGTAAATGTGGTGCCATGTAGTAGCCACATAGAAACATCTCTCTTCAAATGTGTAAACTTTAGAATCTTTTGAAGTATAAATGAGTATAAACTTTTTTCCATTGCTTTACCGTGTGCACCAGTCTGTCCTCTCTGAGGGAAATGATCCTGTCAAACAATCCTACAGCTGCACAATACAGGCATTGCTTGTTCCCTGCTTCACTTAAGAATAAACAAACCTTCAGATGGAGTGCTTAAATTGTATGGAAAGAGAGGGAGTATATACAGCTATGCTGGCTGCTCTGGTTAAGCCTGCTGAATCTCTTTTGGATGCTGCTACTGGAGATCAACACGGGGCTTTGGCAAGGGGAAGCTTGGTGGCTACCACAGCAGTATCGAGTGGCTGGAGGGATAATTGTCTTCAGTTTAGTTCACATTAAAGCATGACATTAACTACTGTAGAGATGCAGATGAGCTGCTGTGTGTGCACATGGCACAAAAGTGTTTGGAAGGTAACTTTGGAGGGCAGCTATTCCAGTCTCTGCTCAAAGTCAACACTAGATCAGGTCACTCCTGTCTAGCTCTAATATATGTTGAAATAAATTTGTTTGAGTCATAATGTCATTAATTGAACTGGACTCCCCCACAGCTTGTTTTAATTTAAAACAAATTTGAGCTCATTTAGACAACTTTTTACTGTGACATTCAATGGTGTGTTTTAAATATTAAAATTTAAAGTGTGTGTGTGTGTGTGTGTGTATATATATATATGAAAAATATTAACATATTAACACAGATTAAATCCAACTGGGTTTCAGGCAAATCCTCCTGGTGTGTTAGCGTTACTGGATGAAGAATGCTGGTTCCCTAAAGCTACTGACAAGACATTTGTGGAAAAATTGGTCCAAGAGCAAGGAACCCACTCCAAATTCCAAAAGCCAAGACAGCTAAAGGACAAAGCAGATTTCTGTATTATTCACTACGCAGGCAAGGTAAGGTTTAAATGTTAAATGATTGGTTAGAAATGTTGGTTTTGGGTAAGTACAATGTGGTGTAGCCACCAAATGTAGACATACTTGCACAGGAGGGTGACCTTGTTTCATTTTCTTGAGCATCTTTCTATGGAACTCTTTTTACCAAATAAAGCTGAAAAATATAAATTAATAATAAATTAAGCAAATATTTCAGTTTCTTTTAATTGTGTTGTCAGGTCTTACAGGTGAGTTTTTTCAGGACTTGTATTGAAAGGAATCTTTCAGATTTTTAGAATAAATTGTTTGTGTGAATGTCAGTGGTGCCATCTACATAATTGTAGCAATAAATTATACATTTTATTATATCAATAGTTAAAACAATAAATTAAAAATTATGAAATCATCACTATTACTGTAGTTAATAATAGGTTAGTTGTGAAACAAAAGGTTACTTTTAGGTAATCAAAAAGTAAACCAGCTTGATGCCTGACTACTGGGAAGTGATTGTTCTGAAGAATGCCTTACTTCTGCCCGGCTGAGTGGGCATTTCTGGGATGCACTGCATCGCAGATCTTCCTCTGACACAAGGCATTTTTCAATTTGTGATCAGAATGTGTATTTCCTTCAAAACTAGAATCGTTTATAAAATATCTTCCCCTGCAGGAAGTACTAAGAGGATGTTCTGATTTAGTTGTCGATGCTGGAAGCATTTAAGCGTGCCTTTCCTTCCAAAGCCTGTATTTAAAAATAAAAAACTCAGTTTGTTTGAAGCTAAAACGTGCTAGTCTGCATAAAGGTCTTGTTGGACTTAGAGAATTTTAGGACTCTCTTGGGTTGGAATGAAACCGTGCTGGTAGCATTGAGTTTTCAGCTGCTGAGGTATAATTTAATTACAGACCACAGAATTGGTTCTTTCAAGATAAGAGTTTTGTTTGTTTTCTTCAAAGAACAAAGTGTTTCAGTAGAACTGCTATGGTGAAATAAAAAAAAAAAGTCATGTCGCAGCACATCCTTAATTTACTCTCTAGTAATTTAGATAAAGTAATTAGGATCTATACCAGAGGTTTTTTTTAGATCTTCACAGTGAAGAGTGAAGCCTTATTTTGGCAATAACTCGGCTGAAAGTGTACACCAGCTATTAGTAAGCAAAAAGTCAGGTTGCTAAATTTTAAAGAAAACTCCTGTTTGCACTTTCAAAAGAATAATTACTTTTTGTGGTACTTAGAAGCGTTCTAAAGAGGCACACCAGACTCATAGCAAACATCAAGAAGAGAATATGAGGAAAATATCAGTGTAGTATTTTGAAAGCTTTTTTTTGTGTGAAGCTAGTAAATTTAAAACTAAAGGTGGTCGTGTGTCTGATCATGTGCAATGTGGGTACTTTATAGGTCGACTACAAGGCAGACGAGTGGTTGATGAAGAACATGGACCCCCTGAATGACAATGTGGCTACACTCTTGCACCAGTCTTCTGACAAATTTGTTGCAGAGCTTTGGAAGGACGGTAAGAGACGTGCTCTGAGTACACAAATCGTTAGCAGTTTTACCTTGCTGGATGAGTTATTTTTCTGTGCCTGTTCCCTCCTCACTGTCCACCTCTACGTTGTAAATATCTACCGCATTTTCTCTATTGTTCAGTGCCAAAAGTACAACAAGGAAGCTCGATTGCACCTCTGGTCCCTTGCACATGTACCATTTCTGAGTAGCTGCTTCTCATGTTCATTATTTGAACTGGTGTTCACTTACTCCCTGTTACCCTGTGTCAAATTTCATCTGTAGAATCTTGTCCAAAGCTCTTCGTTTGAATTGCTGCAGTTAAGTCCTGAATGTGAACAGTTGTAGTGGTACTTGCTGTTAATAAAATGTTGTCTTGTGTGAGCACCAGCACAGCTGTTTCTTATGCAGTGGTGGGTCAAATTCTGGAAATCTACATCTCCTAAAATAAAATTAATTAACAGCCATACTAGTGCTTAGATATTGCATATTAAAATCAAGTGCAATATTTTCCTATTTTAACTGTCCACTGCTGTTTATCTTGTCTACCTGCACATCAGCTTAAAGTATTTTATCAACACTGTTACCAAAATGTTCCAAGAAGCAGAAATAGCCAAATACATGCTTACAAAGACTTTTCTATTATAATTTTTAACATCACAGTATATCAATTAGAGTATATTTACATGCCACAGTTTATAAATCTTGTAGTTTCTTTTTCTGTGAGAAAATTAATCTTGTGCTATAAATGATGCTGTAGGTTAATACTGAGTTTCCCTCTTACTCTCAGGAATACTTACTTGGTTCAGCTACAGAGAGCAGTTTTAATGAATGTATAAAGAACTTTTTGATTGGGGAGCTGCTCCTTTCCTTTTGAGTTACACACACAGAAGCAGAAGTGTTTTGGTCCAAATATGCAAAACCTGCTTCCACAGATAATTGAAATGTGCATGGAATATCTTGTGGCCTAATTGCTGTTGTAGCACAGTTAAGTCTGTTTGCAATTGATGAACTTGTTCTGTTTACTAACTGAAGTGTCTTGTGTATCTGCTCTTCTGTCTTTCTGTTTTTACTGTTTCTCTGCCTTAGAGATTCAGAATATTCAGAGAGCCTGTTTCTATGACAATATTACTGGGCTTCATGATCCACCAGGTGAATGGATATAAAAACAGTAGGCCGACTAAAGGCAGGGCTGTTGTATCAACAGGAAAACCATTTTTGCTCGTAGGCTTGCATGAACTTTTCATTTCATGCTAAACTTAGGTATACTTCCACAAGGCAATGATCTCTGAGTGCATACCTATTCAGTTGCTGCTGCATACATATAGCATCTGTATTTTTTGCATTGCCTTTAAGCATTGCAGATAAAAAGGTTTGTCGCTTCCTAGTTCCATGTTGAGATGCAGAATTGCTTCTTAAGTGATAATTCTGGTAGCTCCAAGCATTTGAGAGAATGCATAAGCTTTGTAACACTATCAAGCTTCTTTCTGCAGTCCAACACTGACAAAACTCTGGAACATTTTAGAACCTGGATGTATTTTTTTGGGAGAAGAACTGAAAACTGTATTCAAGTATCAGAATGAGTGCTGCAGTTGTAGTGGGGGTAGTAAGTGAAATAAGCTTCTTCCAGAGTTGCTGAAACAGTTTTGTTTTGGGGTTTTTTATTTAATTAAAAAAACCCTCTTTAGTATTTCCCTTTGTAGAGGTTACACACATTTTTTGAGGTATCAAAAAAATCAACAAATTCACTTATTTGGAATGTCATTTTTAAAGACACTTTAGGTATTTTATCCAACCTCTTCCTCATCCTTCTCGTATTCCTCTCCCCAAGTTTAGAAATATGTGCATGTGAAGGTTGTCTTCAGACTTCTGATCTTTATTTGAGTTTATCTTCCACTACTCGTGATACATCACATGCTTGAGGAAGATACTGGTGTTTCCTAAAGAAATTACTAGTGGGCTGGAGTTTTGAGGCTTTAGCTAATGAATGATTGTCCAGTCACGATGTTCAATGACTGCTCTTAACCTATAGGGAAGACTTACATTTAACTTCAATAATCCTCAGTGAAATATAAATAACTGTATTCTGGTTGGAGGACAGAGGGGAGCAAAACAAAAGATGCACAATTAACAGATATTTACAAAATTTTAAAGAGTATGTGGCCAAACAAAAGCTGAATGGTGTCCAGTTGTTAGTGGTGTCTGGTGGGTGCATGTTTCTAGTATTCACAAGCTTTTATGTTCATCCTCTGTAAGACTGATTCCCAGTAATCTCTACCCCATTTCTGGTTTAGAACTGAATTCTACTTCAAAGTAAATAATTGGGATATGATCTTATGAACAACTTGCCACCTACTTATTCTTCTGATTTTAATGAGCCGCTTAGATTCTTGTGTTCAAAATTGTGTGGAGGATCTGGGCTCTGCTCTGTATTCCATGTGAGACTTACAAGTGGTTATTGAAACTTGCTGCCCTGTATTTTTCTGCTTTTAATTTTCCTTTTTTATAGACCTTTGCAAACCAGTTGAGTACAAAATCAAATATTGTCACTTATTTCTCATACACAAAACTACTTCTGCATAATTCCCTCTGCTTTGGTTTGAATGAATTTAAAGGTAACTTCATAAAACTTAAACTGTAGTCTACATATAGCTGCTTGTTCCTGGCTGCCCAGCCTGGGTTTCATGGAGAATCAATAGATCTTGTGGATTTGCTCAGCACTAAGAAGTGCCAACTATAATTATTAAGGTGTTAAGCCACCTGTGTATTTTATTAGCGAGCTGTTTAAATAATTGTTGACATGCACATGGAATCACGCTCATCTTTTTGGGCTAAAGGTTTTCATGATGGCAGTTAGATTTGTAATTTGTGCTTCTGAAGAAGAAATTGTAGAGAATCTTACCCAAACATTCAGAAAAATCAAAGAAAAATCTCTTTTCTGATGTTTTATGGCAGCTTTGAAGTGCTTTGGTGTGCAGTTTTCCTGTTTTGAAACTTGTCTTTTGGCAAGCGAGGTCTTTGCAGTTGTATATAAAACTTTTGAAGAATTCTTCAGAGTAGCAGACTAGCGGAAGTCCGGTAGATACTTTTTTCCTCTCTGGTCACTGAAATAACACTGTTTCCAACTCTTCTGTAAATAGCTTTGAATATTCAATGAAACTCAGATTTAGTCTGTATAATTACCATGACTTGTCATTTTAAGCAAATATGCAGAGCTGTCTAATTCCAGATATTCAACCCAGAAATACTTTGCATTGTAAGAATTCAAATAATTGCCAGTTTCCAGGCAACTTTCTGCCTCTTGAAAGTTGATTTAAAGGAAATGGCTTTACTGGTCATGTAGAACTGCAAGTAAAGAGCTGGATATCTTAGTCTGTACCTACTAAAGCTACACTATTCTGCTGTATAAGTTTGTGGCTTTTGGTTCCACTGCTTCTGCACAGCGTCGCTGACTGCCTTGCCTACTGATGGCATCTTCTGTCATTTGTCCCACAAAGCTTCTGCTGCTGCACTATTGCTCCTCTTTCCTCCTGTCTTTATACCTGACAAATAGTAAAGTCCACTTAATTATTTTCTCTTGTCCTTCCCAGTGGATCGTATTGTGGGGCTGGATCAAGTCACTGGAATAACAGAGACAGCTTTTGGCTCTGCCTACAAGACCAAGAAGGGCATGTTCCGTACCGTTGGCCAACTGTACAAAGAATCACTCACCAAGCTGATGGCAACACTCCGAAACACTAATCCCAACTTTGTTCGCTGCATCATTCCAAATCATGAAAAGAGGGTATGTGCTACAGACCACTCCTCCAATTCTTTCTCTTTACTAAAGTCCTTACCTGCATTTTAAGTTACGCATGCTGTGTCTTCCTTTTGAAATCTGAAGCCGGGTTTCACAAAAGTTTTA